GCTCAAGTTGGCGGAGATGCTCAGAAGTGACACCGAGGATGAAGAATTGAATGGATTTAGTGATATGGTGTGAGATGGAGAGATTGTTAAACTTGTTCTGTTCTGTTGTTTATGCTATAGTTATCTGAAGAACTGTTCATATGTGACGTTAACAGAGTGTTGTGCTATAGCGAGTTTCAGCTGACGTCATTGAATGGCCCAGGAGTTTCCACCAAGTCATTGTGGATATCGCCCAAGTGAATATTTGTCCAGGTAATTGGCAATTCTGACCAGAAATTTGGTTTGGTCTTCCTTTTGTCGGGGTTGAAAAGGGTGATTTGGGTCCATCGATGCTTATGACCAATTTCTGGTCAAATGGTCTTGGGTCCTCTGCCGTTAGAGTGGATAAATAACCGGGATCAATACCCTTTACGTGCTTACTCGCTCTGTCTGTCATGTTGAATTAGTGTTTCTTGCCGCCGACCAAAGTAATTCCCAGCATGCAACGCACGCTTTTGTCAACAATGAAACTCGCCTATTGTTATTACTAGAACTTGACTTTACACAGGAAATGTCTGCTCTTGGTCTCTGATTTTACAAAATAAATTTACCTCAAAAAATGCACCTTATAGTCCAGTGTGACTTATATATGTTTTTTCTTCTTCATTATGCATTTTTTGTCTGATGTGACTTATACTCCAGAGAGACTTATAGTCCGGAAAATAAACTAATTGTATTATCTTGTTCAATGAATGATATCACAGTTGTAAAACCTACTTAAGTTGTGCACGTAGTCCTTTTTAACTTCATATTAACTTTATATATTTTAATACATACAAAAAATATTCTAAATAATTACTTTAATGTTGGGGAGCATGAAAATTGTAGCATGGATAGGACCAGGTCTGCAGAGGAGCCCAGGATCAGTTGCTGTTTTAAATATCACAATGCTCTCTCTTTTGTCAATTTTAAATAAACTAATAACCTGAAAACATAAAAAAGTAAAATAGCAAGATACTCTACTTCATACATACATACATGCTTATATTTAAAGAAGAAATTTAAAAAGTAAATGTGTAAATATAAGCACAAATGCAATGATCTATTTTGTGAAGACAGATTCCTGTGAGCTTGTTTTGTTGCTTTGAGGCCTGCTCTGTACAGTAAAGAGTCTATCTTTAGACCGTTGACATGCATTTAACTTTATTGGTCTTCGCGGCTTTGCTAACATGCTAATCTTGTCCACAACATTTCACTTGAACAGACTTTGAAGTGAAGGCACAGGCGCTGCAACCATTTCCTGCCTTGCATTTGGAGTTATTTTGAGTTTTATTCTCTTCTGAAAATAACAAAGTCCAAAATATATGATGACATGTAGACTCTGGGAGCGTTCACACTGGCACTGGGGGTTTGGTCCTGATTTCTCTGCTGGATTCTGTTGTATGGACTTTGTTTGGTTCTTTTTAGTCCTAGTTTAGTTTCACTTCAAGGGTATTATGCAAACCTGACTTTTTAGATCTTTCTACTGTGTCACGGGTTCGTCCGAAATAAATGTAAAAAAAAGATGGCTCAGTCGAAAAACTTCACTTAAGTGGGTTTTTATTCACACCACAGCTCCAAGTGCAGAGGGGAATATTTACAGTGAAAAAAATGAGGTGGTAGAATCCAACAAAAAAGAAGTATTTACAACAATATTTACAATAATCACACATACAGTAGCCAGCACCCACGTAGTCAGGCCAAAAACAGCCTCCCAAATGACTGGAGCTCCCTCATTTGTACTCCTTAGCCCCTCCCCAATTAACCATAAGCAAATTGTATTGATGAACACAAATCAACTTGGAAATAAACATAACAAAAATAACTTAAAGAACCCTTCATAAGGTTAACATAAATTCCATTAAATAACTTAAAAACCAGAATAATACCCCAAATAGGTCGAGTCCACGATCACATGTCCCCCCTTTAGCGCGCCACTATGCGCTATTTAAAGCACAACCAGGAAGTGCCTCGGTAAACAGAGAACGGCGCAGAGGCTGCTGTTGGTGAGTGTCCGTGGGCGTCGGCGTCAAGTGTGCACCCTCGAACGCACTAGTGTTGTGCGCGCTCTTGGGCCAGATGCAGACGCGCCTGTCGGCAATGACGGGACAGCACGGGCGCTCCGTCACATACTGTGTTATAATGTTGTTCTCTCGTCAAAAACACGCCTGAAGTGATTTTATATGTCATGAATGTTTGAGTCATCTTGTGATCTAAATACTGTATGTTATGTGTTAAAAATATTGCACAAAATTGCCTCTTGTAAACTTTAAGTCATGTTGTAATGTTCTTACCTCCTCAAAAACAAACCTGTGATTTGTTTCACTCACACACGTTTGAGTAACACTTTATTATCAGTCTGTCTACATCTCCAAATCTCAAAATACTAATAAATAATAGTAGTTTTGTGAGTGAATAGCTCCTTTTACCTTTAGTTCAGTACAGATTGGCAATTCTATGTCTGAAATTGATGGCAAATACAATAACCTGACAGTTTCACTGCTCACTAACTGTCTTCCTCAGATAAAAATAAAAAATAAAATTGACATGTTAACATTACCGTACATAAGGGGTCTAACAGAAAAAGTGCAGAGGGCAATGAGAAAACACAATATGAACACATCAATAAAACCGTAGAGAAAACTCAGGCAGTTATTGGTCCATCTAAAAGAGAAAACAGAACCGGAGCATAAATGTAACGTCATGTATGAAATGGCCTGCATGTCCTGAAATAAAACATACACTGGGGAAACAGGGAGGGCGTTCAGTCCATGAAAAAAGGAACATAAGACAGAAAGAGAGAGAACAAACGGTGAAGGTGAAACACGAGCAAAAAAACACAAAGCAGAACAGGAACAAGTTAAATCAGCCGTTTATGACACTGTAAAAGAGAAAAGCACATTATGGACTGGGACGAGCAAAGATCACTGGGACAAAGGAAAACAAACACCACTGCTGGATTAAAGAGGCAATCGAAATACGTAAACGTGCGCACGGGACTATAAACCGGGACAAAGGGCTTTTTCACTCGCATACTCCTGGGATACTGTCCTGAGGAAGTAGGACTGCAGGTGGCGCTGTCGTCCTGCCTCCACTGGTAGGAAGACAGAGACAAAACCAGTTTAAATCAGCTGAGCGACGTCACAGCAACATCACGAGACTCTGAGGAAGAGCGCAGGGAGCAGAACAAACTGTCAGGAGGAAAACAAACTCTTGGTCTGAAAAAAGAATCGAAGAACATAAATTATCGGAAGACCAAATGAACCTCATCGGACTACGGCAAATGATTCTAGTGTAGGTGTAAGGAGCACTTCCTGTAGTACCACATGACATCACAAGGTGGAGCAATATTTGCCTCAGCCTAAACATATGTGGACATGTGTGAATGAAACAAAACGCAACTCCAGGTCTGTTTGTGATGAGGAAACAACATTAGAACAGATCAGAGAATAGTGTAATATGGGTCCTTTAATTGAACACGTGTTTTTCAGTGCAATAAAAACAATTACATTAAAAACAACATACTTTTATTCTTTTAGTGTGTTGTTTTAGTGAAAAGTTACGTACTGGGACTTAAATGTGTGTCTGTGTAGTAGCTACAAATTGACAGCACAAAGGTAGTCGTTCATTTGCAGTTAAGAGACGGGCTCTGAATCGCCTTTGGTCCAAACACATGCTGGTGTAGTGGGGCGCGTGCCTGCAATGTCCATGTGTTCTGGACTGGTTGACAAACATTAAAAGCCCCTGGTATTGATTGGTGGTGGGAGACGAATGAGTGTATTATCAGATTAGTCAGGAGGGATCATTTGGGCACTCGCTTTAATCAGAATTAACACTTGAAATTAAACAGCTTTTTAATTAACTTTGCTATCAGTAAGTCTGATTTCACTATGATTACTTCTTCTCTTCAACTCTGAAACAGTCAATAGTTTAACATATCTATTCTCTGATCTGTTCTAATGTTTCCTCATCACAGACAGACCTGGAGTTGTGTTTTGTTTGTAGACAGACTAATAATGCAGGATTAACTCAAACATGTGTGAATGAAACAAAACACAACTCCAGGTCTGTTTTGTGGACACAGTAACAGCATGGTTTGAATCTCACAAGGGTCCATTTTGCATAATAAAGTTGATATTTGATCCCTGATGAGAAGGTTACCAGTTTATAATAGATTCAATAGCAGTATTTTAGTTTTGTAAGTCTTACTGTATTTGCTGTCAGGAATTGAAAAGAACCTTTGAACACAATCAGAAAATGTTTTATAGTATTTGTTTTAAAAATAAGTTTCTTCATTTGATTTGATTTGATAACACACAGATCTAAACTTCAAGGCATGTGAATCCTCTTTCAGTTTGGAATCCAATATGATTATAGTGTGTTTTTGTTGTTGGTTTTTTGCTACTTTCAACTGTGTAGAAGGTGATTTGTAACCAAACACTTCATCACATGGTAATATTTATTCACTCCACAATCACACTCAGTCATCGTGATAAGTTACTGCTGACAAACAGAAACTGAATACTGTTCTTGTGTCCTTGGGCAAGACACTGAACCCATCTTGATTTTGGTGTGTGTGTATAGGGTGAGTGGTTCCTTGCTGTAAAGCGCTTGAAGGTGAAAAAGCGCTGTATAAAAATGTGACGATTTACCATCATTCAACCACAAATTCCTACACATAAATGAATGTTTTAGTGTCTTGCTCAAGAAAACAACAACAGTCTGCATGATAATCACAGTTAGTGTTGAACCCCAAACCATGTAAACGACTGCTCTGCCACTACCTCACCTCCACATCTGAACCCACAAATCTCATTATTTTCCATCACAGGACCTACCAGAATAATTAAAATCTCTAATTTGAGAATGTGGGGCGTCCGGGGGTTGGAGAAAAAAAAAAAAAAACACATAAAAAAACCTCACCCACGTCTGGCCTATTATGTGTTTTGATTACGCTGAGCTATTTCTGGTATTTTGTTTAGGTTCATGCAGACGATGTGCTCACCAAGGAAGAACAGATTGGCCTCCTCTACCAAGCCAAACGCAAATGTGAAGGAAACATCAAATCCAGAAGCTCCAACAAAGGTGAGTCAATCTACAGCAACTGGTATGGAAGCTATAGGCAATGCAACCCAGCACATCACATCAAATGCACTGTAGACACGACAGGCACTACAGACCAGGGGTGGGCACACTTTTTGACTTGTGGGCCACAAAGGGTTCTAAAATTAGACAGAAGGGCCGGACCAGGAGCAGATGGGTGGAGTTTTTTGGTAATCCACCGCATAAGAGAAAAAAATAACATGGGATAATGTAATATAGAAAATAATGTGTAGAAAACAGGGGGGCACCAATCGCAAAAACTGTCATTGTGTCCTTAGGCAAGACACTTCACCCACATTGCCTAGTATGAAAGTGGCGTGTGCGTGAGTGATGGTGGTGGTCGGAGGGGCCGATGGCGCAGATGGGCAGCCTCGCTTCCGTCAGTCTACCCCAGGGCAGCTGTGGCTACAGTAGTAGTTTACCACCACTGAGTGTTGAGTGGATGAATAATGAACTGTAAAGTGCTTTGAGGATCTTGAAAGGTGCTGTATAAATGCAATGATTAATTAAAACATATCCCATGTTATTGTTAAATCATTACAAAGCATTACAACAAAATATCTGTCTTTCAAATCCCACAGTATTTACTATTTATTGAAATTACTGAAGATGATCATTATTATTATTATTCAAGTTTGGCGGGCCAGATTAAAAAGATAGGAGGGCCGCATATAGCCCCCGGGCCCGTTTGCCCACCCCTGCTATAGACACTATAGACACTACAGACAGACAGACAGACAGACAGATAGACAGATAGTTAAATAGATTTCCAATATCCAGTATCCGAAATTCATGTATAGAAACCCCACAAATGTCCAGTCCAATCATTTAGAACTGGTATTTTGCAGCTGCTGTCGTCAACATTCTCCTGGGGTGTGATGCTGTGTTAGTGTTAGTGTAATTAGTTACTGTTACAAATTACTTCCCCCCTTACCATGCTGGAAAAGTAATTAATTACTCAGTAAAGTAATTATCCAGTTATTTTCATGTTATGCTGTATTGCTCAAAAAATGGAGTTTGTCTTTAATGCAGTGGCTTCGTCTCCATCATGGCTGGAGCTCAGACTCACTGCACCGGGGCTCGGGGTGGACAGCAGAGAGGTGTGTTACCTGTGACGATGTGAGGAGCTTCATAAGATTCGAGTGACTTGGGGCAGACATGGACAGAGCAGTTACACTTAACATACACGTTCTTGCCCTTTATTTCAGTGAGGGAGAAATAGTCGGTTCCAGTTTGAAAATGCTGCCGTTAAATCTGCATGGCTCCTCGTCATTGTCACATTCTCGTTGAGTTTGTCTCATTTAGCTGAAGTGAAAGAAACAACATGGCAGCGTGAGCAGAGACTCCGCCCACCCAACTTTTTTTTTGTTTGTTTCATTTGGATAGGCCCAGTAATGACAGTTATATTCACCGTAAACCTCAACCAACTCCCACAACTCCCTCTTAAATAATATTGCATGTAGAAGCTGCAGCTCACATCAACCAACAGTTTTTTAGTTTGTCATTCTCACAAACACTTGCTCAAATGTATCACAGGCTCCTGAAAATGTGTTGCTTAAATCTATTTTATTTTTATTTATTTTGTTATTTTCTTGAATTTTCAATCTTTTTTGACAATGTTTGCGTTGTCTCACCCTGGAAACTTCTGAACATTTTGCCATAGACATATATGCAGAACACCCCTAGTGTGATGTCACTGCAAAGTATCAACAGAATTCTATATTAAACTGAAGGTATTTTAGATGATTGTGTTGACATTATCCAGTGACATTTCTATTCCACAGTATGAAAACTGTACATGCCTGTGAGATAATGATATCAACTCAAATCAGCTAATAAGAAGAGAACCTTTTACTTGGTTAGTATTGATCCAAATACTAGGAAGGGGAAAATTGTGTAATATCTCCTTGACAACTATTGACTTGTTATGACATCTCATAAACTTCTGTTGTAAATGTCCCCATTAAGTCGTATGTATAGATCCCCCCTGATCATGACTGCTTTCCACAGTAGTGTACGCTCCACATGAATTAGCATTTTAATGTCATGGTTTAATCATTTAGTGTCTTCCGCTGCCTTAAAGGTACAGTATGTAACCATGGAGATGAATAGTCACATTTTTATATTGTACAGAGGTCTTCAACTGGGGGCTGTTGATTAGACTTTTAAAAAATGTTTTTATTATATATTTCTTAATTTTTGAAGGATGAGGATGAAGTGGTTTTCAGTGGGTTCTGTCTGTGCGTTCCTTCATCACATCTGTCTCTCTCTCTCCATTCCCTCATCTCTCGCTCTCTGTCAAACAGCAAACACGTCGGCGCAGATTTTATTGTATCTTATTGGGTACATGTGAAGAGTTCCGTAACAGTTTCACTTTTACACACAATGGAACTTAAGCTCCGCACGTACTACCACACATCAGGAACAGGTCAGGCAACTTCATTCCCCGGGCGTATTAACCAGACTCCACACTCCACAGCTTCCCCCTCTCCACGTCGGGCCGTGGACAGAGAGGAGGCAGCTGTGGAGAACAGGAGAGGAGGAGGAGAACAGGAGAGGAGGAGGAGAAAAGGAGAGGAGAGGAGGAGGAGAAAAGGAGAGGAGAGGAGGAGGAGAACAGGAGAGGAGGAGGAGAAAAGGAGAGGAGAGAGGAGAACAGGAGAGGAGGAGAGAGGAGGAGGAGAACGAGGAGAGGAGAACAGGAGAGGAGGAGGAGAACAGGAGAGGAGGAGGAGAACAGCAGAGGAGGAGGAGAACAGGAGAGGAGGAGGAAAACAGGAGAGGAGGAGGAGAACAGCAGAGGAGGAGAAGAGGAGAGGAGGAGGAGAACAGGAGAAGAGGAGAGGTGGAGGAGAACAGGAGAGGAGAAGAAGAGGAGATGAGGAGGAGAACAGGAGAGGAGGAGAGGAGGAGAACAGGAGAGGAGAAGAAGAGGAGATGAGGAGGAGAACAGGAGAGGAGGAGGAGAACAGGAGAGGAGGAGGAGCTAAGCCTGGACATGTTAAGCGACTTGTTAAGAGCAGTTTATACAGGACACTAGGCCCAGTTTAATTTAAAACACAATTGTATGCCATATATATATATATATATATATATATATATATATATATATATATATATATATATATATATATATATATATATATATATATATATATATATATATATATATATATATATATATATATAAAGAGAGAGAGAGAAAAGAGTAGGGGTCCCTGCTCCAGGTCTCCATCAGTTTGGGGGTTCCTGGCTTGAAAAAGAAGACCACGGGTTTAGTGCCTTTCCACCTTCTTTTCTCTCTACCAGAAAAGGTACAGAGTGCATCTTTAATAGTAATAATAATAAAACCATCTCCAGATTAGCCATCTAATATTATGGGCAGTGGCAATATCATAGTCTTGTGTTTTTCATTTATTTTATTATTATTATTATTATTAGTAGTAGTAGTATTAGTATTAGTATTATTGTTGTTGTTTTTTTTAAGAAAGAAAGAAAAAAAAAAGGCATTTTATTATTTTATTTAATGTAGCAATAAGCCCCTAAAATAATGTATGAGTGAACTTGCCTCTCCGTAGAGCTGACCAGTTACTTGATCACCTGCTTCATGGTAAACAGAAATGATGCTGTACTATGGAACGTTCCAGGCCAAGTGATCTCCATGGAGACAAGCAGGTGACACACTGTAATCTGTAATGCTTGACAAATTGTAGGATTAAACATATTATTTTTTGCTAATATAATGTCTTGAATAACATTCTTTGTTGCTATGAGTTGGTGTACCTCTTCATAGATCTGACCTGTAACCTGGTTGCACAAACTGTTTGTATTGACTGCAGTAGATAAGTATGCCGTACTGTGGAACTTTCCAGGCATAGTGATATAATCTCCATGGAGACAAGATAGTGGCAGGAAAGTTACAGTGCAGAGCTTTAAATTGGCTGTAATACTTGACAAGTTGCTACAGGTATTTTCTGTTTCAGACTTCATTCAAAAGCTCCCTGTCAGATATCAGTGACTCAAAGTATGACTCATTTGAAGGTTCTCAGGTTGAGACTGTAAACCTACACTGCTGTTTAACTTTGTGATCTTTTGTCAGGGGAATAAAAAGAATCAAACTCAGAGGAATTGTTTAGAAGCTCAGAGCAAATATAAAAAGAAACCCAAAAGTTGAAAGGAGCTAAACATCATTGTCTTGTTTCATCCCGATGTTTCACACAAGAGGCTGCTTCTAAAATGAGCAGCGCTTTGAAGACGACTTTTTGTTCTGAAGGATATTGGTTTGGGCGTACTCGAACAAGCCCAGCTGGAGCTTGTTGCATTATTTTAACCCTCCAAAGCTACAGTAGTTTGACCCTCACAGGCTGCTGTACTTTGAGTTTCCTGGAGTTTTGATGCTGTTATAGCCAGAGATTCGAGGCGGGAGCTGCTGACCCATGTTCACCCTTCTTCTTCTTCTGTTTGGGAGTTTGGGAGAAGGTGCCATAGGTCTTCGTAAGGGAAGTCTGTTCTAAGACTTTCAAATGAAAATATAAGCTTTTTCTGATAACAATCACAATGTTGATTTATTCTTAATTATCAAAACATTTGTTATAATTTGTTGTTTTGGTTTTCAAGACAATTATCCAGTCAGAAAGCAGAATGAGCCTCACATGAATCTCTGATTTGGGCTGCCAGTTTGAGTGCTGAAATCCAGTTGGTTTAAATCTGAAAGATTTGTAAGGGCTTTGTCTGGTCTAAATCATCACCTAAACCCCAGCTCAGTGTGTGAAATCTGGAGGTTCTGAGCTTTCACGTGAGGCAGCGTCTGTTCATGTACTCTTAAAACTTGTACATATTCTCTATGTATCAGTAGTACCTTACAACAATTACTTGAAGCTGTAGTTAGTTGGCAGTATTTTCTGTAACAATTAAAGTTTATCTCTTTCCCAGAGCAAGATCTGTCAGAGTAGTTTTAGATTTGAAGACGTCTCTAGTAGGGA